TCTCCAATATGGAAGGCAGGACTCTATTAGCTTCAAAGCGACCCTTCCTGCCTATTCTGTGCAAGTCCACCTGAGCAATTCAAAATTCTCCCTTTCACAGCTGGAATGGTAACTACTGTCAATGGAGATTTATGCTCCTATTCCCATATATTTATTTAACAGCTCCTATAACACCAAATTCCTCAAAGCCAGGTTATTTATTTATTTAAAGCTCTTTGGAATCTTCTTCTTTATGAAGAGTAATTCTTTTTTTTAAAGACTTATTTTTATTGGAAAGGCAGATTTACAGAGGATAGACAGAGAGAAAGACCTTCCATCTGTTTGTTCACACCCCAAATGGATCCATAAGCCAGAGTTTAGCTGATCCGAGGCCAGGAACCAGGAGTCTCTCCTGTTTCCCACATGGGTACAAGTTCCACAGGCTTTGGTGCATCCTGCATTGCTCTCCCAGGCCATAAGCAGGGAGCTGGATGGGAAGTATGGCAGCGAGGACATGAACCCACACCCATATGGAAGGATTATCCAACCTAGCCACTGTGCTGGGCTGGCAAGGTTACAAGGCAGATCTGATGCTATCAGCTTTCCTTAGCATCCCAGAAAAGTAATATCTGCCATAAACAGTTTTTTGGGGCACTATAAAGGCAGGTTTCTAGCTCTTTCCTTTAACAAAGAACCAATAACTGCTCATTCACTGAATCACAGCTGAACTCTTTTTGACAAAGTCTGGATACTTTAGTAAGTCTCAATTTATGTGCAACTTCACATACAGTAGTCAACCAATGTGATCTTTACTCTGTACTATAATTCTCTAAGGCATACCACCTCTAATTTATGAACAATTAGAACTAACTCTACATTCAATAATCTTAAGTCCCCAAGCATCTTTGTAATTTTTAACCCGATATTCCCATTTTTCTCAGAAAACCCCTTTCTAGTCATCTTCTCCACTATTATCCATGTTCTCTTTTAGGCCTCCTCTCTGATGACTGCTATGCTCCTTCTGAGATTCTACCCATTCACAAATCTCCTTTCTATTCCAAGTGCCATGTCTCTCACCCGTCTCTCCGGCATGCAGATTCATTGTATTCTAAAACCGATTATATTCCTTGTTTCTCTTTCACCAATTAACTACTACTTATTAAGTAACTCTGGATAGAGATTTCATTTTTTACTTATTTCTCCAATTACAGTATCTCAGTTACAATGCTTTAAATTTAGAACTCAGGGGCTGCTGCCATGGCATATCAGGTGAAGCCTCAGGCTGCACCTCCAGTACCCCACATGGGACTCCACTTTGGATCCAGCTCTTTGCTAAAGGACCAGGAAGGTCACAGAGGATGCTCAGAGTCCTTGAATTCCTGCATCCACATGTGAGACCAGAAGAAGCTCCTGGCTCCTGATTGGCCCAGTTCTAGCCACTGTGGTCAACTTAGGAGTGAACCAGTTGATGGAAGATATCTTTCTGTCTCTCCTCTCTCTGTAACTCTTCCTTTCAACAAGGAATGAAATACATGTTTTGTTTTATTAAGTGGAACTCAAAGGAAGGTCTTCAATAACCTAAATGTCTACCAACAGAAAAACAGATAAATAATCTGGGCCTGTCACACCAGACAATGGAAAAGATCCAGGACGCTAGAGCAGTTTCTCAACTGATGCACTACTGACATCTGGGCTGGTAAATTGTTATGGGTCTGCCCACTGCACAGTGGGTACTTAGCTACATCCCTGACTCTCACTTGTGACAATTACAGTGTCTCTAGAATCTTCCTAATGTCTCCTAAAGAGTAAAACTATCTCTGGTTGAGCCATACTGTATCCACACACACATCTATCAATCTCATAAAATAAGAGAACTAGAGAATGAATAACACCAAATTCAAAACAGACAGAATGTTGATGGATATGCACATGGAGTAAGTTTATCATCCTACGTGAGGATGTTCAAACACTGAAATCAAGAAAATTATTTCTAGGGGAAAAAACCCAGGATTAAGGATGCTTTAAATCATATCTGCAAAATCCAGTTTTCTAAGACTGGCAAACAGCATACCTGGGGAAAAAATGCCAACATTTCCCAAAGCTAGGTGATGTGAAACACTGGCATTTTCTTCACGTACGCTGTTTTCCACACTCAGAAATAGAAATGCACCCATTCAGCCGCTGCCTGTGGTCTCGGAAAACAGAAGAGCTTGATCAATCCTGGCTCTTTGCTTTGGAATGGCTCAGTTCTGGCCACTGTGGCCATTTGGGAAATAAGCCAGTGGATGGCACATCTGTCTCTCCTTATCCTTGTAGATCTTTCCAAGAAAAATAAATCTTTTTATTTTAAATATATATATAAATGCAGACTAAATTTGTGCTTACCGAACTTCCTCAAGTATGATTTGACACAGAACTTCCCCTTTCTTAGCAGGTAAAGGCAATGTTACTTTCATTTTTTTTTCTTGTTGTCAATTTCTTTTTGACTAGAAATGTCACAAGAACGGTAATGGAATACCAGTCAGCTATATAGGGCTTAATTGTTTTCCACTCTAATCTACCTTATTTTTTACTAAAATCTTTAAGAAACCAGAATATTTAGGGATACAAAACAAACTTGATTCCTGTATGATCAGGTGCCAATGAGTTCACGATGTGCTTTAGAGGTTGATGTTGTAGCTTAAGCCACCACTGGCAACACAAGCACAGTAAGCACCAGGTACAGTCCTGGCTGCTCCACCCATGTGGGAGACTAGGATGGGTACCATCCTGGCCCAGTTGTAGATTTAGAGTGAATCAGCTAATAGAAGACATTAACAAAGAAAAATATTAAATTTACATACATCAGAAAGATGTATTTTGTAAGGATACAGTTTTGACGAAGTCATGTAGGTATACTAATCACATTAATACCCAACATTTAAATCAAGATATACCAAAAATTTCCTAGACCTCAGGGAAGAACAATTGATACCTAAATTCCATGGATGTATTTAGTTTTTGAAGATATTGATATATACTTATTTTACATTAATTAATTTGTGTTGGAATTGTCAGATTTACAGAATGAAAGAGACAGAGAGGAAGATCTTCCATCTGATGATTCACTCCCCAAATGGCTACAACAGCCAGAGCTAAGCCAATCCAAAGCCAGGAGGCAAGACTGTCTTCCAGGTCTCCCATACAGTTGCAGGGTCCCAAGGCCTTGGGCCGTCCTCAACTGCTTTCCCAGGCCACAAGCAGGGAGTTGGATGGGAAGTGGAGCTGCCGGGATAAGAACCAGCACCCATATGGGATCCTGGCGTGTGCAAGGCAAGGATTTTGGCCACAAGGCTATCACGTCGGGCCCTCATGTATTTATTAATACACCAAAATTACAGGAGTGGAGGTAGGGGAAAAACAAAAGGAAAAAACCCCCAAAATTACAAGGGGTAACTGGTTAATATGCTACTTAGAAACAACTAAAGAGGGTCTGACATCGTGGTGTAGAGCTGAACTTGCACTTGTGGTGTGAGCATCCCACATGGGTGGTATCCCAATGTGCTATTTCCAATTCAGCTTCTTGTTAATGGTCTGGGAAAACAGTGAAAGATGGTCAAACTTCTTGGGGGACTGACAAGAAGCTTGACACTCCTGGTTTCAGACCAGCGCAGCTCCAGTGGTTCTGGTTATTGGGGAAGTTAGCCAGCAAATGGAAGGTGTATCACTCTAGCTATAAAATAATCTGTTTCCAATAAACAAAATCAGAAAAAAGGGGGTGGAGAAGAGAAAAAGAAAGAAATGTCCAGATGGGCAAATATTGTGACACAGCAAGTTAAGCTGCCTCCTATGATGCTAGAAGCCCATTATGTGAGCCAGCCTGAATCCTGGACGACACGCTTCTGACCCTGCTCCCTGCTAACACATCAGGGAAAACAGTGGAAGAAGGCCCAAAGTACATGAGTCCCGGCACCCACAAGGACCTAGACAGTGTTCCAAAGCCTCTGCCTTCTGCTTGGCTTAGACCTGGCTGTAGTGGCCATTTAGAGAGCGAGTCAGCAAGCAGATCTGTCTCCTCCTTGGTAAGTCTGCCTTTCAAATATATATACATACATAAATAACTGGAGACAGTACAGTGGTTTAACAGGCTAATCCTCCACTTCCAAGCGCCAGTATCTCATTTGGGTGTCATTTACTGTCCCAAATGCTCCACTTCCCATACAGCTCCCTGCTTGTGGCCTGGGAAAGCATTGGAAGATGTCCCAAAGCCTTGGGACTCTGTACCTATATGTGACACCTGGAAGAAGCTCCTGATTTCAGGTAGTGGCCCCATTAGGAGTGAGCCAGAAAGATCTTGGTCTCTCTTTTTCTATGCAAATCTGCCTTTTCAAATAAAAACAAACCTTTCTTTTTTTTTTTTTTTAAATAAATAACCAGAGATGTGGAGATTTGGCACATGGCTGACACAATGCTTGACATTCAAATCTCAAACTAAGTTCTGGCTCCATCTCAGGTTCCAGGTTCCTGCTGATGTGTAGCCTGGGAGGCAGCAGGTGACAACTCAAGCATATGGGTCCCCACTAATTATGTGAGACCTGGATGGAGTTTCAGGCTCATGGTTTTAGCCTGGGTTGGCCAGATGTTGTGGACAGTTGGGAAGTAAAAAGAGGTTAGAGTTCTGTCTGCTTTTCAAATTAAAAACTCTCCATGTATTAGCCTCAAATTTTACTGAATTCACAAATAACAGCTAAAATATTTCTGACTTGCTTAGTTAATAATACAATTATTTTGAGAGCAATATCAAGACAGGGAATAAAATCTCGTATAATGAAGACAATCTAATATGTAAGCATAAAAATGAAAAATTTGTACAGATTTCTCGACTTATTTGGTCACTGCCTTCATACCAATGAATTCTTCTCAAAACAAAAATATAAATTTAGAAACTTCTAATTCTAGAATGTTCTTAATTACTATTAGGACTTTATGTTTAAGACACTATTTATCGGGATTTAACTAAATCTCTAAAACTTAACACTTACAAAATCTTCCTCTTCAAACTGCAACCTTTCCACCTTGTCTTCTTTCTTTTCTTCCCTAATCTCTGTTGGAGGCTTTTCTTGAAAGGCACAGCCTTTCCGGGTGTGCAGGCTGCCATTCCAGTGTCGATGGTTCCCAGGTGCACCTGCACTGCGCTGGCTCACACCATCATGATGACCTCGCGATGAGCCATGCCAACCAGAGAGATGCCCGGTGATTCCAGCATACGCGCCTTTAGAGACACCAGAGTCTACAGAATCATGGCGAAACAGGGAGGGCTGGTGCCAGGAATCTGAAATAATAAGGAAGTAAGGTATCATTTACTTCCTGAAAATTCAGAGACAGGGTCAGATGCTGCCACAAAATCTCCAGGGGACCTTTTTCAGTACGGAATGCACAGAAAGCAAACACAAAACAAACTTCTTTGGTGAGATAATCACTATTCCAGTTATTTAACTGAATAGATGACTCATGGGAACATGAAAACATCAAGAACCTAGAAAGCTCTAAACATAGGTGGATAATGACCACCAGCTGACAACTGTATATTATGCATATGCACCTCCACACCAACAGCCTGTGCTATCCAACTCTGAATAGTTCAAAATACACATGAGAAGGCACACAAGGCTCACCTGTAGTCCGTAAGGGTCCATTGTTAAAAAAGCCATCAGAGGAATTGTGTCGACGGCGGCTTACTCCAAATCTACCTTCTCCTCGAGGAAGATGTTCTCTGTGTTTTTCAAAGGTGGCTGTAGGTGACTAAGATGACATGAGTATAGAAAGGCAGGTAATTGATAAACAGTAAGACTATATAGACCATAAGAGTACCACAGACCTCGGACTTAATTTTGGCAAATTCTGTTACATACTTATCAACTCACTTCATTATCCCAGAATGGGAAAAAAGGCATACAACTTTTTAAAGATTTATTTACTTTCATTAGACAGATATACAGAGAGGAGGAGAGACAGAGAGGAAGATCTTCCATCCAGTTGTTTACTCCCCAAGTGAATGCAATGCCTGGACCTGAGCAAATCCAAAGTCAGGAATCAGGAGCTTCTTCTGGTTCTCCCACATGGGTACAGGGTCCCAAGGCATTGGGTCCTTGCCTTGAATGTCCGGGATCCCATATGGGCACCAGTTCTAATCCCAGCAGCCCTGCTTCCCATCCAGTTCCCAGCTTGTAGCCTGGGAAAGCAATCGAGGACAGCCCAAAGCCTTGGGACCCTGTGCCCACGTGGGAAACCTGGAAGAAACTCCTGGCTCCTAGATTCAGATTGGCTCAGCTCTGGCTGTCGTGGCCACCTGGAGAGTGAATCATTGGATGGAAGATCTTCCTCTCTCTCTTTCTCTCTGTATATCTGACTTTATAATAAAAGTAGATAAATCTTAAAAAAAAAGTATCTTGAAACAGCAGAGAGAAAATGCTTGTTTCAAAACATCAGCATTGCTATTGCTATTTATTATAGAATTGGAGAGAAGGTAATGGCTTAAATATCACATTTATAGGCAATCAACAACCACATATAATCTAAAACAATATGTCTTTCCAACTTTTCCTTAATACTTTATAACAATAATATAATGCTGGCATTTTCTGATTTTTATTTAACTACATGCAGAAATTATGTCGGAACTTAAATAAAAAACCAACTGACTATTATTACTTTTACTAATATTACTATTATATCTATCTTTAAGGTCCAGCATGGTAGTCTAGTGGTTAAAATCCTGGCCTTGCATGCGCCAGGATCCCATATGGGTTCCACTTTGTGTCTAGTTGTTATACTTCCCATACAGCTCCCTGCTTGTGGCCTGGGAAAGCAGTTGAGGATAGCCCAAAGTCTTGGGACCCTGCACCCGAGTGGGAGATTAGAAGCAAACTCCTGGCTCTTGGCTTTGAATTGGCTCAGCTTCAGCTGATGCGGCCACTTTGGGAGTGAACAAGCAGATGAAAGATACATCTCTCCTTTGCTCTGTATATTTGCCTCTCCAATAAAAACAAATAAATCTTTTAAAAAAATTTGGCTTTTATTGGAAAGGCAGATTTACAGAAAGAAGGACAGACAGGGGGCCTGGCGTGATGGCGCAGTGGTTAAGGTTCTCGCCTTGCACACCCGGAATCCCACTTGGGCGCTGGTTCTAATCCCGGCAGCTCCACTTCCCATCCAGCTCCCTGCCTGTGGCCCGGGAAGGCAGTCGAGGACGGCCCAAAGCTTTGGGACCCTGCACCCATGTGGGAGACCTGGAAGAGGCTCCTGGCTTCGGATTGGCTCAGCTCCAGCCGTTGCAGCCACCTGGGGACTGAATTATCAGACGGAAAATCTTTCTCTCTGTCTCTCCTCTCTGTATATCTGCTTTTCCAATAAAAATAAAATAAATCTTTAAAAAAAAAAAAACAAAGAAGGGCAGACAGGAAGATCTCCCATCCATCGATTCACTCTTCAAATGGCTGCAGCCATGCCAATCTGAAGCCAGGAGCGTCTTTTGGGTTTCTGTTATGTACAGGATCCCAAGGCTTTGGGCCATCCTCCACTGCTTTCCCAGGCCACAAGCAGGGAGCCAGATGAGAAGAGAAGCAGCACTGGTGTCCATGTGAGAACCTGGTGCTTGAAGAGGAAGGATTAGCCAATTGAGCCACTGTGCTGGGCTCAACTGACTGTATTAATGGGCCTATTGTTCCAAGTCTATTTTGTACCAATCCTTTAATATATCTATCTTTATGCCAAAACAACAGAAACTCCTTTTTATCATAAAATACTGAAACAGAATTATACAATTTTTCTCCTTAGTTCATTGTGTGTTAAAAATTTTACTCTTGGACCAGCTGTAGTAGCCTAGTGTCTAAAGTCTTTGCTTGCATGTAAACCATATGGGCACACTGGTTCGTATCTCAGCTCTCTATTTCCCTTCCAGCTCCCTGCTTGTGGCCTGCAAAAGCATTAAAGGATGGCTCAAAGCTTTTGGGACCCTTTGCCTCTGTGGGAGACCCAGAAGGGGCTCCTGGCTCCAGTTGGCGCTGGCAGCCACTTGCGGGGTGAATCAGCAGACAGAAGATCTTTCTGTCTCCCTTACTCTCTGCAAATCTGATTTTTTAATAAAAACGAATGAATCTTTAAAAAAATAATGTTGCTCTTTGCAGATAAGATTTGTATACTTTTCCAAAAAATTATTTTAAAAGTTATTTTCTTTTTATTTGAAATACAGAGAGACAAGATCCAGAGAGATCTCCCACCCACTAGTTCACTCTTCAAGAGCCTGCAACGGCCATCCTGGGCTAAGTCAAATTCAGCTGAAATCTCTCTTGCACCCAAATGGCAAGGACCCAAATACTTCAGCCGTTAAGTGCTCAAGGTATAGAAATAATCAAACATTGTTTCTCCCCTTTTCTCTTCCTCATCTGCTACAGATAACTGTGCATTCATTTTAAAGGTTTGGTTACTCAAGGGGCATTTCACACTCACCTCTGCCCCTTGATGTCACTGACGATATGTTAGTAGACACACTATTATCTCTAAAATATGCTGCAAATAATACAGGAAACAATAAATGCACCATGCACTGTGTACACACTGATGGAAACTGATTACTTATATCCTACTAAAAGAAAGGTTGTAAAGTCTATGAGAATGTATTGGCAATCCCCAAGCAAGACAAAATTAAAAAATAAAACCAAACCGAACCACTGTCTCACACCTGGATATAGGCCAACTATGGTTGAAAAACAACTGTATGTGGATAGTTACTGTAGTGGAGTACCTTAGATGACTGTGGTGTGGAGAAATTTAGCCAAGCAGGAACAAAGTCATGCTGCGCCATTTAGGTCCAGTGTCTCCTTTTAGCAAGGGGAGGCATCCAACCTCATGGCCAGGATCTGAAAAAGAGACAACTCAGTCACTAATGCATGCTTGCCAGTTTTACAGCAACATCTAAAGCAATCTACAATTACCCTAACATTTCTCTAGACAAAGACCTGATCTCTGATCCTCTATAGATCTACAAGATCCTCAATTAAAGATCCCTAAACAAATGATGATGTGACGATCAAGTATAAAAAAACAACATGGATCTGCAATGTTACGCGAAGAAAGCTTGAATAAATCACTCAATTACATCCATGAATGCAAAATTAATGCCTACTTTTACTACAGATACTTAGAAAAAGATACTTAATCTGCTTTAGATACTTGGGTAATTTCTGGCAAAAGCAGAGACAGAACATCTCAAAGGCTTTCCTATTTAGTTCACGTGTATTTTCTCAAACCAACAATTACCAGTTATCCTTATAACTGTACTTGTATCTTTATTTATTTGGATTTTTTGGTGGTATCTTTAAACCATCTCAATAATATTTTGTAAAATTAGATACCTCAGAAAGCAACACATATTTTTCATGGCACTTACAGAGCTTTCTCTCAAAGCTGAGAAATACGTTAAATATTTACCCCAGAGCACAACCTCTGTGGTCCTGTTTTCCGAACTCCTTGAGTCTGCCAGCTGGGACTCTCACGGGATTTTCTTGTGAAAAGGATGCTTAAGTAGCCTGGCCAGCAGCACGTCTTGTGATGAAGCACAGAAAAGCCAGGCTCCGCGTGGATCTCTCTCAGTCCCCTCAATTGCTCATCTTAAACTATCTAGTTTGTGACACGTTTCCAAATAAGGGGAAGGGGGAAGGGGAAGGGGGAAGGGGAACATAAAAAGTATTTGTTACATTTAAAAAAGGGGGGAAGGGGAAAGAGCTATGTCTATATTCACCTCATTCAACTTCCTTGAGTAATGGCACTATGATGTAGCTTAAATAGGTAATTCATGGACATCTGCACTGTGAGGACAAGCACTGCTCATAACAAGGTCATAGCTAGAAACACAGGTGGGCTTATATGTGGGCAAACACTGTCATCAAGGTGACAAATGAAAAATACATTAAAGCACTATAAAAGAGCTCAAAGTAGTCAATTCCAGTAGCAAAATATCCACATGACAAAGCCCTTAAAGCACAAATCTCATTATCTCACAACTACTAAAAAGTGTGCAGATATGTATTTTTCCTAACCTTCAAAAGCTAAGGACTATCGAATCTTGCTCATAACATTAAAAAAAAAAAAATCACACAGGAACTTGATATGCTTTTCCCTCCACGAAATAGCAGCTTTCAAGGCAAATTTCTTGGTATAAAGCTCCTAAATGTATATTCTATTTCTTTGGTCTTAATAAATCCAAAGGAAAACTAAAACAAGTAAAAAGATGAGAGTAAGGGATAGTCAAGGATCCAAATGAGGTTCTTCTCTTCCGTTCTCTCTATTTCACTTGCTCTTCTTCCCCAAAACTGAATCCAGCTACTGGAAGGTGATTTGAAGAATCTTGCAATCTGCTTCAATAGAAGTCACTCATAACTTTGGATCCATTTCAATCATTAAAAAGGCCACGAAAATTCACCACTCTGTAAATTAAAAAAAAAAAAAAGTAACATACAAAATCACAAAAGGCTAAAGTTATATATAATTGCTAAAATGAGGGTCAAATGTCCACACCAATTTATTCAGATTCAAAAACACATAAATTCAGTGTATTAACTTAATGTGTTATTACCTGTAAGAATATAACTGGACATTAACTTTTGAAAGATTTTATAGAAGTTATCTTTAAAAGTTGCTTTGTTAAAAAAAAAGATTTATTTATTTTTATTGCAAAACCATGTTTACAGAGAGAAGGAAAACAGAGAAGAAGATCTTCCGTCCAATGACTTACTCCCCAAGTGGCTGCAATTGCTGGAGCTGAGCCAATTTGAAGCCAGAAACTTCTTCCAGATCGCACATGCAGGTACAGGGTCACAAGGCTTTGGGCCATCCTCTACTTACCTTCCCAAGCCACAAGCAGGGAGCTAAAAGGAAAGTGGATCAGCCAGGACACAACTGGCTGATATGGGATCCTGGCACATGCAAGGCAAGAATTCTGCCACTAAATCATTGTGCCAAGCCCACAACTTGCTTTTTATATATACCCATTTCTTTAATTAGCTATAAAATTCAGAATGCAAAAAAACTCAGTTTAACACTTCTTTCACAAAAGAAACAAATTGCCAAAGTGGCCAAAAAATTAAATAATTTGCTGGCATATTACCAGTCATCACAATCTATTTCATATTATCCAGAACTAGATCATCAATAAAAGCTACTTTAGTATTCCTCATGCATGTATATGTTTATGTAACAAGTTATCAACTAGAGATTTAAAGTTTTTAGTATCTATTTCAAGATTTACTTTCACTGGAAAGGTAGATTCACAGAGAAGAGACAGAGGTATTCCAGCTGCTGGTTTACTCCCCAGCTGCCCACAACACCTAGACCTGAAGCATCAAGTCCCCCATGTGGGTGGCAGGGTCCCAAGATTTTGGGCCATTCTTCTTTGCGGTGAGGTTGATGGGAAGTGGAGCTTGTAGGTAGAGGATTATCCAGTTGAGCTATTGCGTTAGGTTTACTAATTATAAATGCATTGAGAGATCACATAAATTGCCTGAAGCAATGGCTCAGTGGCTAAATCTTAACTTTGTACATGCTGGCTGGGATCTTATATGGGCACCAGTTCATGTCTCTGCTCCTCCATTTCCCATACAACTTGGTAATGGTTCTGAAAACGGGGTGAACTGGGCCACTATACCCAGTGGTGCATTAGGGCTACAGTTGGCAGTTGGTTGTGCCAGGCTGCCACACCTACCAGTGCATCCTTCTATGTTCCTACTTCTTCTCCCAGAAGAATTTCTGTCCAGGAATGATTAAGTGAGATTAAACAAGGTAAAGATCCGTGGCACCAAAGGTAGGAACTGCACAAGCCCCAAGCAGGGTACACATAGAACCCATTTATAGCAGTATAAGCAAAATATACCTGAATGAGATGAAGGCATCCTGGCAGAGAAACAGGGCCAATGAGATCTAGTGCTTTCATGCAGCAAGATGCTTTGCACAGATGCTGTAGCATGTGTGACAAGCAAGACTGTGCAGGGGGAGAAGACATAACTGGATGCTGGGTTCATATGGAGAACTAATTGTTAAAAAATATAAACAACATTAAGGAAAAATGGTAACCGTAAAATTAGAAATCAGGATAGAGCACAGGTCATGCTGAGCTAAGCTCTTGTACCTACTGGTCTGCATGAGCCAGGGACACTAAGACACAGTGTCTAAGGCAAGGGCTGGGACAGGTGAGGGTCTGTGCCAAGATGAGTCAGAGCAACCACTAGCATGTGTGCAATCTATACCTGGGACAGGCCCAGTTGGGGAACTAAAGGGACACCCTAGCTGGGTTGAGGTTCCTACCAAGGAGTATGGGACTGGATTGGGGGGCTGCATTCTGACCAGGATACAGTTGCAGTCTCACTTAGCACAAGTGTGGACTGGGACTAGATGCACCAAGCCGGGCTAGAATCCACACCATCTGGTGCTCTGGAAGACCAGGGTAGATGTGGGACAGACTAGGCTAGGTCTCAGCCCCTACTGAACCACGACGTGTGAGTTGTATGTGAGTATGGACAAGCCGTGGCTGGGCTGAAACATCCAATAGTAACAACCAGATTGGGTTGAAGGCTAGTCAGGAAGAGCCACTGTTCCTGCTATGACAGGAGGTGAACTGAGTAGGGCTGGCTCATGGACCCCCTGGTATGCGCAAAATCTAGCATTGGGAGAGGTGCTGATGGAGGAGCCTGGGCAACTCCTCTGGCAGGACACAGACCCTGCAGGTAAGCTCAAGAGGCATGAAAGGAAACAGCTCAAAACATGCCTTGGAAAGTTTCCCACTGGCATACATTTGGCATGGGTCTGGGGCAGACCAGGCTGAATCAGTTCACATTATCCATTGGTGAATCTGAGCACCAGAACAGACTGTGGGTCGAGCCAGGTTCGGTCGTGACAAAACAGTGCACATTACAGAATGCCGAGGTGAGGTTATCTGTGCCAGATGTGACCACAGCGCCCAAACAGCACACGTGAGAACCAGGAAGGGAAGGAACGGAGCTGGCAGGGGAATATGGGAGTGCTACCCTGCTGAACCGCTACTCCCACTGGAGAGCGTGAGCTGGGATGGGTGCAGACCAGACCAGGCAGGGCTATAATACCTGTGTGCCTCATGTGGACTAGACCAGGGAAAAGCCAGGCCGGGCAGATTATTCCTACTGTTGCAAACCAAAATTAGAGTGGGTGAGGGTTGTTTGGGCTTAATCACAGCATCAGCTGGCAGAAGCTGGCACTGGGAGCTAATTCTGTCAAGTCAAACCACAGAACCACCTGGAAAGTGCATAATCCAGGAGTGGGAGTGGCCTAGAAGGGAAATAGTGGCACCTCCCTCCTGGGTTACCACTGCCACTAGAGGGCATGAAAACCAGGACAGGGGCTAGGGTGGCAAGACAGAAAGTCACCCACCACCACTTCTCGGCCTTTTGTCTAAGATCAAGTGAAAGGCACCCAACAATATCGGTGTGGGCTGAACAGTGGAGCTGGTTAGATGGAAACTAGGCTTCAATGCCCTTTGACATGTATGAGAGCCAAATGGGATGTGGGACAGACTGGACTAGTCTGCTACACATACTGCCAAACCAGGGTAGGGGGCGGGCCTGGTGAGGGTTACTGGGGTCACTCCAACTAGGCTGCAGCTCCCACTGGTTTATGTGAAGGTCGAGTGTGTGCTGGGCAGAACCAGGCTGGACTGCGACACCTATTGGTTCCAGTGGAAGAGAGTGCTGGAAACAGAACCAACCCAGTAATTGCAACCACCAGCTGATTAGGGCGATGGACTGTGCCGGGCCCTGTACTTGCTAGTACACACAGGAATCTGGTCTGGGATCACTTCAGACAAAGTGCTTTTGGGGATCATCCCAATCGAACTGCCGGACTTGGAACCCTAACCATGAAAACACAGAGGACAGAACAAGTCAATCAACCACCTCAGCCAGAAGTTGGCAGTGAAAAACAGGGCAAACAGAGACTCCATGATGGACTATGTTAATCGGTGGATTCTTCAACGACCTCATCATGCTTGGAGTGGCAAGACTGGCAGCAATTCGTTACTGCTGAACTATCAAAACCACTTGAGCAAGACCCTCATAGCATGGCCCAGATCAAGGACCTGGGGTGGGTGGGAAATTGGGTTGGGCTTCTCCCTTAAAACCCCCTTTACCTCAGATACATGAAGGAAACAATGTGGAAATAATAGTCTTACCCACTTCCCTGTAAAAAAAATAAATAAATTTAAAAAGAAAAAAGAACTTAACAGAGAACAAGGAAGGCCCCTGTGAGGACAGATGGAATGGGTCACCTCTTACACAATGAATATAACAACATATTAGAGCCATCAAGACGATGCAGGGGACACAGCTGTAGTAGCTGAAGGGAAAGCCTCCAGCCAGCAATAAGAATACATCACCTGGGCCCGGTGGCCTAGTGGCTAAAGTCCTCACCTTGAACACACTGGGATCCCATATGAGTGCCAGTTCTAATCCCGGCAGCTCCACTTCCCATCCAGCTCCCTGCTTGTGGCCTGGGAAAGCAGCAGTGCATGGCCCAAAGCCTTGGGACCCTGCACTCGAGTGGGAGGCCCGGAAGAAGTTCCTGGATCCTGGCTTTGGATCGGCATAGCATCGGCCGTTGCACTCACTTGGGGAGTGAATCATTGGACAGAAGATCTTCCTCTCTGTCTCTCCTCCTCTCTGTATATCTGCCTTTCCAATAAAAATAAATAAATCTTAAAAAAAAAAAATACATCACCTGAGCCTCAGAATGGGGTCAACTACACAAGCGTGGGAACAAAAGCCTTCTCAACTCTGTCAGTCTTATCCATCTATCACTCAGGTAACAACCCCAGGATATTCTTTGGATATTAATTTAAATTAGAAAACTTGGATTGATCAGAGTATAAACTATGTACGCCCCATTGACATTTAAACACGAATCAGAAAAGCCTTCCTACTAACAGTCCCACATTGATAGATGAACTCTGGTGAGCTGGGATTGGACAGCTTTGCTCACTGGCTCAGACCTGAAGTTACTGGCCAGTTTGCAGAAAGAAAGAACAGCTGAAGGGTAATTCCTTGATCCTGCTTTCTGCAGTCCAGTCTAGAAACTTTTTTCTAACAGGACTGTGTACAGACTCTGGGGAGGGCATTTTTTCTTACAAATCCACAGAATCTACAATTCAAAGCAGGGCAAGGATTCACCCATTACACACACACACAATTATCCAGTTTTCTGATATATACACCATTTTCAATCCCCTAACTCAGATACTGATCCCAGACATATAATCTGCAATGTCATAGTAAGGAAGTCCTGAACAGTTGTATTGCCCATAATACTGAAACACTACTCTCAGTTTACTGCCATCACTTTTTCTTTGTCTCACCAATTCCAAAAACACAGAACACTGTCATGTACTTGCTGAGTAAGTATAAACAAA